GAAATCTCCATCTTATCGTTTTGAAGATGTACCGGTCTTGAAATTTAGGATCTTGGGTTGCAAGATTGAAGATAAAGTTGTTGTAGTTTTCATAGGCCTTCTCGAATCTGAGTTCAACCTCTCCATTATTTCACACATCTTGTTGATTTAAATATGCTCAGTGATATGCCGATCCATTCTTGTCAACACAGATATGACCTCATTGTTTAAGATCATAACCAATATTTCTTGGGCTAGATTTCCCGGATATTAAACTGGTGAGAAAGTTAGAACATTATGTATAGTAATCTCAACATTCCTTCTTTGTGAGTTTAAGGTCGGTGGTGTGGGTAGGTTTTGACCAGTAGAGATGGATGGAATATTACTAGAAGTGGATTTTGGTAATGAAGACATTTTTGGTGCAAAAATATGTAAGTGGCTAAAAATATTAAAAGAAAAAAGCAAGCTTTTCGAGTTACTTTATAAAGAAAAATATAATAACAATACTTATCCCATTGATGGCGCCAAATTTTTTTGGTCAAAACCTAACAAACTAATTTTGTAAAAAAATTAGTAAGTGTGGCGTAATGTTTAAAATAAGGCCAGTGAAAGTGAAATGCTTAATATCTTGTAAGGTGTCGATAATCTTTGTTATGGCCAACATCGTAGGCAAAAAATAATTAGATTTAAAGACTTGTTTAGTAAATGTGTGTTTGTTGGTAATGAAATTAAATATATTTGGGACAAAAATAATATTAAAGTGATTCAAGTGTGAATTATTGTAATAAAGCTTAATATATTCAAAGATGCTATAAATTAGTACCTTGATAATTTCGATAATGAAAACAAATTAATAATCAAATAAAATAGTAGAAGAAGATGATATTAATCAAACAACACTAAGTAAATCAAAGTAAATGCAAGAACACAGAGAATTACAAGAAAAAACCCTTAATCATTCTGGATCTTCAGTATAAAACCTCGGGAGGTGATGAATTCACATGTCTTAGAATTTATATTAAACCGAAATAAAATTAGTCAAGTGCCAGATCATCTTGAAAATGATGTAAATATGCTAAGTGTCGAGAGAATCAGAGAGAAACTGACAATCAAGGTATGTGTTTGTGTGTGAGTAATGACCAGCTAGGCTTTATATACATATCAATTATAACTAAAATTTCGACATTATTTGGATCTTCTTTGATCCACGCTTGACTCGGCTTTCATGATAGTCATCAACATTCTTGAGGCATTGACCACGTGTATGTTGACATGGTCTATTCATTTATATTCATACTTTATTTTCCTGCATAACATATTACAAGAAACACAATGACAGTTCAAGATTCTAAATAAATCTATGATCTTAGACTTGCTCAGGATGTTAGTACCAGTTTAAGTTACAAATGTTAAGGTGAAAATTCTACCAATAACAGTAATCTATATATATATATATATATATATATATATATATATATATATATATATATATATATATAATTACATACACTAATATCTTGAAACATAATTAGATATAAAAAAAATATTTTTTATTTTTAAATAATAATAAATAAATTTTTCTGAAGTTATCAGAATTGTCAAAAACATCTATCCGTTGAAATGAAAGTCGGTCCAAAAGAATATATCATATTACATGAAAAATCTTTTTTTATATTCCTCATGACAATTAAACAAGATTTTTTCATTCAATTATAGTACTTCATTTCATTACCTATTTATTCATTTCATTATCTATTTGATTTTTGCAAATCAAATGATACCTTATGATTTGCAAATTTTATGATATAGAACTAATACAATCAGGAGCAACTCAACCAGTTTAAAGGCTCTAAGCAAACCAAAAAATTTGAGCCCTTTGGCATTTACTATATTTAATTTTATAACCCCGGATTCAATAGTAATATACCATACATTTAGTTTCAAACCTTATTCGATGGTAATGTACTAAACATTTATTTCAAAGATAGATGTTCCTTCATAGAACAATAAGAGCATCATGTTTACACCATATTCTTCAAATTGGAACATATTGTAGTACAAACTAGACTGCTAAAGCATCCACAAAAGTTATAGTCACATCTATAATTCATAAATGAAAAGAAAAAACTTAACAAATGATCCACCGCAGTGTTTAACTTTTTGGTATTGGCACAATGAATATTAAAAAAATTATCCCCTATTAAGTATTAATCGTAATAGATAATCTATTATTCTGTTAATCAGATTCATATATTCAGAGTTCAGATAATTGAACTATGGAACGTTAGAAAATTGATATACAATTATACATATAACATGTATCAAGAATAAGCCTAATAGACTAACCGACAAATAAGAATCAGCAATGGAGAATCAGATTATCAGAGGAAGAAGTTAAAAAGAACATACTGTTTCACTGTTTCAGACTTTCAGTTCCTATCTTCTTGTCTTCTTGACGACAGTTAACAACCTTGAAGTTTTTAGTGAGGAAAAAGAAGAATCGAGAATCAACTAATCAATAATGAAGAATCGATCAATATTCAATCGATGTTGTAGATTGGTAATGGCTACTTCTTTCGAGATGGAGTATCAAAGAATGAGAAGCGGAGAAAGAAGATCGAAAGAAGAAGAATTGGCAGTTACTTGGTTGATGTTTTCTTCTGTAGCGTGCATGAATACTAAATGGAGAATTACTAATGGATATTTAGGCTAAATGGGGCCCTTTAGAATTTAGGACCCTAAGCCGTTGCTTAATTTTTATTGAATTAAAACCGACCCTAAATACAATGCATCAAACAACGTTCATTACATACAAGAGGTACCAAAATATAGGAATGCTACAATAACTCGTTTAGTATAAAACTTAGGACGTTACATTTTTTATCATTATTTGAATGCGTTTAAACTTTAAACATTTTGATGGTTGATTAAGATAAAAAAACAAACAATTCTACTTTTTAGATTGTTTATATTTTTGTTTTTTGTTTATTTTTAATCGTTCGTTAGGCCTATTTGTGCCCAGTAGCAAGGCCACCACGACCGTGCACTCATTTCTATGGCTGTGGCATTTCATGGTAAGTTATACGAGGCGCAACTAATGAATGAGGGGTACACAGGGAACCATATTGTTGGTTTCAGGTGTTGTTAGTTGCTTATATGAAAACTATCAATAATACTTAATTGTTTATACCGGATCAAGGGATCAAGGTGCTATGGCACCCTATATATATATATATATATATATATATATATATATATATATATATATATATATATATATATATATATATATATATATATATATATATATATATATATGTATGTGTATATATAAATCCCTTGATCCGGTATAAACAATTAAGTATTATTAATAGCTTTCATATAAGCAACTAACAACACCTGAAACCAACAATATGGTTCCCTGTGTACCCCTCATTCATTAGTTGCGCCTGGTATAACTTACCATGAAATGCCACAGCCATAGAAATGAGTGCACAGTCGTGGTGGCTTTGCTACTGGGCACAAATAGGCCTAACGAACGATTAAAAATAAACAAAAAACAAAAATATAAACAATCTAAAAAGTAGAATTGTTTGTTTTTCTATCTTAATCAACCATCAAAATGTTTAAAGTTTAAACGCATTCAAATAATGATAAAAAAATGTAACATCTTAAGTTTTATACTAAACGAGTTATTGTAGCATTCCTATATTTTGGTACCTCTTGTATGTAATGAACGTTGTTTGATGCATTATATAGCTATTAAAAAATTTACATATGAAACCTAAAACTATAAATTTTGATTTTGGTGTCTCATTTTCTAATTTTTGTGCATATTTATTTTGGGCCCTCAAATCATAACTACAACATCCGTCATTGACCGGACGACTTAATGTTGTTTAAATCAAAAAATTGTTTTCTTTCTAAGCTTATTATTTATGTATTGCAATTCTCCTGAAATGGCAGTTGTTTGACTATTAATATTTGATAAGAAAAACATGAACTCTTTTGAATAAATCAATATCTCAATATTAGCCATTGGTTATCATTGTGCTTTAAGGGCATGAAATGCACCCCTTGACGTTCGTAACGTGTATGCCTCACACTTAACCATACCATGGCTCCACTACGTTGACAACGTGCACTTTCCATACTTGTTTTTAAATATATTATATTTTCCTAATTATTTTATTTGTATTTATGAAATAATAACGTGTCAAACTAGGGGTCTATAAGTGGGTAAAAGGGTCAAACGAAATGTAAATGTAAAAAAGAAAAGGAATATAGTGATCGAGATCGGGTTAAATCATTAAATGCAAGATGTCTAATTGTTTTACTAAATACGTACTATATTATTTTAACCTATAAGTCAAAGTTTCCATATTATATTAATTATGTAAGATTTAGCCATATAATTTCACATGAATTAATAAAATGTAAGAATATTTTTATTTATTTGGTATAGTATTAGAGTGTTTAATGAATGCTGATGCATATTTTAGGGGCAAATTGACAGCACACCCACCATTCACGACGACTTTATTGTCATTTCTCTACGATCCTATTTTCTAGCCAATATTAACTCATTTCTAGAATTGTTCACTCCTTATAACTATAATTCGATTCTTTAATATAATATTATATTATTAATAACTGACTAAATATCTAAGCTTAAAAATTTTGCTTTATCATTAAAATACAATCCTAGATATTAATTGTTTATAAAAGGAAAACTACATAACTAAATACTGATGATTTCACATATATTGAATTCGATATATTTCAATAGATTTATATATCATTATTTTGTATTTCATATAACTCTATCATTCTTTATTTATAATATATGGAACTCTAAAAGGTTTAACTGAACAGATTTGAAATTTAAAAATTAAAAACTTTTATTTTTTTTATTAAAAAGTCTGATTTTTTTTTTGGAACCGGCAAATATTATTAAGAAAACCACCACCCTAGCAAGACGCTAGGAGGGGCAAAGAGTACAAGAAGAAGGAAATTTACATTCAAATAAAATGATTGATACACCAATCAATCCATTGCAAAGTGCAATGTTTTCTCCTATATTTCATCCAAAGAAACACCGTGGACTTTATCGAGTCAACCACTTTGGCAAGGGATGTTCTTAATTTTTTGAACACCCAATCACACCTTGCCTTCCAAAGAAACCATGTAGTCCCATAGCAAATACTAATTAAAACTCTCCTTTTCATCTCACATGATCCCCACTGCGCTGCGAATGCCATCAGCTCTTCAGCGGATTCAAAGTGAATATTTTGGAGGTCACACCAGCTAAGAACCCATTCCCATACCCTTACAGCCATTGAGCATCGAAAGAGTACATGGGCTGTATCCTCTTCTGCATTCTTACAATAAGAACAAATTGGGGAAGTGATCCGGATACCGCGCTTAAGGAGAGCACAAGCAGTTGGGATTCTTTCCAATTTTGCCCTCCACATGAAACAGGTTACCTTCAATGGAATTTCATGAATCCATTTTAGTGTAGACTCCACCGTAGGTAAGTTCCATTGATCAATTTTTTTTTCTAAGTCTACCAAATTGGAATACCCCATCACTAGCTAAGGTGCACACCCACTTATCATTTCCCTGCACAGTTTGGAAATCACTAATTCTGGAGACAAGCAGAGCAATCTCACTAACCGACTCCAAAGTTCTTGGTACTGACTTCCAATCCCAGATCAAGTCACCATTTTGTAAGCGATCACTGATTTTACAGTGTTTGTAGCGTTCTAGTTTGTATGCTTCAGGGAAGGATGTCTTTAGAGTCGAATCTCCAATCCATCTATCCAACCAAAACATGGTCTCTTCTCCAGCTCCAATTTTTTTAACCATTAATTCTTCTAGATCAATATCGAATAGCTTCAAATCATCTTGTACTCCCGCAATCCGGTTCCAAATTCTAGGCATTGTTTTTTTTAGAAATATGATGTGCAGGCATATTATAGAGATTATGAATCCCTTTAATAACCGTACACCATAAGCCCGAGCTGTCGACCTTCAACCGCCAAATCCACTTTGTGATTAGAGAGAGGTTGATCGCCTTGAGAGAACCCAACCCCAATCCGCCGATTTCTTTTGGAGCTGTCACCGACTTCCATGCCACCCAGTTAATCTTCTTCTGATTCTCCGCACCTCCCCATAGGAATCTTCTTCTTATGCTTTCCAGTTTTTTGATAACACCTGTAGGAGCAACAAACAGTGAAAAATAAAAGATAGGAAGGCTGTCGAGAACAGCCTTCACAAGAGATAGACGACCCCCGAGTGATAGGGTCTTAGACTTCCAACGGTTCAGCCTGGATTAAAAAGTCTGATAACCATTGAAATCCAAATCTATTAAATAATAATATAGTATCTCTTTCATGTATTCAATGACACAGTAGGTTTGTCACTTAATTCACTTAATTCAAATCTCATTGAATTTTACGGAATAGGTTAAACAAAATTCTGTAACAAATGTTTTGGATTATTTTCAGCTACTGAGCTACGTAGTTGTGTATTTTGGATGTGTAGTAATAAACCTTTTTTTTACCAAATTTTAATTGTTTACTTTTAGTTATTATGTTTGTTACGGTTAATATGGAAAATAAGTATAGGTTAATAAATTCATCGAGTGCATGCTTCTAATGATCTTTATAGGTAATATCTCCAAGAGATGAATACATACACTCAATGTTAATAGTGATTGCTATGGACAGAAAGAACTAGACCCTGACTATAACATTTTGTTTGGGTTTGACGAATAGTGTTGACGCTTATACCTTGTCTTTGTTGAGGTTCAGATAATGTCTCAGGAATGCTACGAAAGTAGCATTCGCAACTAATATGGACAATGCGATAAACCTTTTTGTTTAGTTATGTCAAAAGATTTATATCATGGTTATTTTTATAAGAGCATGATTTTAAATTTGTCGTGTAGGATTAGGCAAAGTAGACTAATAGAACCTTTGTTCATCCTAACATGCAAATCATATATATTGTCAAAATTTAAACAAAATTTTGGTAGACTAGAATATGCCCTTGGATCTCATGCCATCAGGACTAAACGTGATTGGCTTGAAAATACCATTCATGTGAAATGGGCAAGTTCATTTTTCGATAACCTCTATTTCAATGTAATGAACCTTGATATTCAAGATGTTATCAACATGTTATCAATTCATGAACACAATTTACTGATAATGATGCCCATTAAGGTTATGTGTGAGACCGTTCAACAGATTTATATTCAATGTAGTGTCTATGGATATAAAATAATTCATAAATAAGGATATATTGTATAGTGAAGTCACCATTTATGCAGATATTGTGTGTAAATATAGGATGAACAAGTTCGGTCGGTGTCAAGCGAGGAAAATGTCATTATACATGTATGAAGTAAGAGATTTTTATGAACACTTGTTGCCAATATCTAAATTTGAATGTTTTCATGTGAGGAATGATGTAGTTGTAGTATACCATACGGTCATGTTGTAGCTATAGCACAATCCTTCACCTTCTGAGACTGTTAGCATATGGTTAAAATTTATTTCGAGGTCTGTAGTTTATCAAATTGCATACCAATCAGAACTCACGCATTCTCTACCGCCTGAATAAGAAATACCAAACCTAATGTTGGTCGTTTTTAACCCTATGTAATTGAGTTAATTATGTTTGGATTTGATATTGTTAATGACAATTAATATCATTACTTTTTATTACAAACTACAAATAACAAAAAACTACAAATTAGAAATAAGGAACATGGTTGAGAATATTCCAAGTGGCTTCATGTGCAAAGTTAGCTTTGATAGCACATTTTAAATGGTGTGATAATTTTTAATGAAAATCTTCAGCTTCCTTTTTAAATCAATAAACGTTGCGTTGACTAATAGCCTCGGCGACCAACTCATAGTGAAGTGTATGTGTTATTGATGGGTTTTGATCAAAACAAACAATCATTATGTGTGCATGCAACCCTAATTTGAAGGATCTACGTTTTCATTATTAGACATGCATGTATTGAACACAAAAGAATAAACCCTAGGAGCCATCTACTATAATGGAAATTCATAATAAGAGATAGTAGACTAACCTTTAATTGTTAAATATTAATAACAAACAATTCCTTAAATTGTTGAAGATTGAGAACTAATGTCACAAGTCTAACACATCTGATGGCTCAGAAATACACTTAGCAAGAGGATTATATGTAGGAGTGGAGGATGAATCTTCAAAATTTCACCTCTTCTTAGGGTTAGAATGGTGGCCAAAATCTGAAAGGGATATGCCCTTTATATAGTTGTCGGTAGCATAGAGCCAAAGCTAGGGTTTTAAGGAGGAAACCCTAATTCCTTAGCTTAAGGCCTAAGCAGCCCAAGAACCCCATCCAATAGGCCCTTGGACGAAATATCTTGGGTATTCCTAAAAGATTTCATCCAACCCATCTATGAGGGTTCTAGAAACTATCAACAAATTGACAAATATCCCTACGCTTTTAAGTAATTCCTTTAATCCAAAAATTAATTCCAAATTTATTTCTGATTAAATATTAATTAAATAATATGATTTCTAATTAATATATTATTTCCATAATACATTAATAAATCATTTATTTCAATTTATTAATCAAATAATAAATTCATCCTCTTTCTCAATAGGTCATCATGTCTAGTTGCTAATATGAAGACAACCTAAAAGGATTATGCTACTATCAATTCAAGTACATACCAATTATATTTATGGGCTGAGATACGTAATCCAATAGTCTCCACTTGGATAAGTCTAATAACTATAACTGCAAGTATAACTTCCAAATTGACTAGCAAATTATCGCTCTCAAAGCTACTGTTGAACTTTAACCTAGTCAGTTACGTATCCTAAGATAAGTGATCATATAATCCTCCGTTCTATAAGATATCATGTCGAAAAATCACATGGAGTAGAATCATTCTCATTGTCCAACAATTTTGTTTCCCGATTTCAGATTTGTAATGACAAAGAACTACAATTAAACACAACAATTAAGTCCTGACCGGGAGCAATACATAAGTCAATACTAATTCAACGAGGGACCCAAGATGTTGATTTTCCCGTTAGGTAAAAAAGAACAGATAAATGTTGATTTATATGCTTGCACTATTTACTCATCAAATCGTGCACAACAATACGTTTTATAACACCAAGTTACTGATGCATTTACACAATATCAATGCACAACCAACTCGTAAACAACAACTCATATATCTCCATTTAAAGATTATATGAGATTATCATTTGAGAATTACCTGTGATAAATCCCATGAAGTAATTCTCTGAGCGTAGGTTAATCCAATACTTAAATCCCCATTTTAAAAGTACTTATAAATGTTGCAGTAAGCCATAGCTATTTCTAAACCCTTAGCCAATCTACAACCCAATACATGACAACCCTAATTCATTACTTACTTCCAAAGTATGATTGACTGTGATTATTTTAATAATCTAATTATTTGGGAAGTAAAACATGCAAAAATGAAACATAATTATAAACAATTAACAAACGATAATAAACGATACTTATAAATAAATTTCCATTGTTTAATCATTAAATGTGAATTACATTTATTTGTTACGAGTTCATAAATATCTATCTAATCACGAAAACTAATATCATTCTTCAGACTAATGCTCCTCGCATGTTGAACGTGCTTAAACCTATTAAGACCCTTTGTGAGGGGATTGACATGATTCTATTGAGATGATACACTCTTTACGACGAGGTGTCCTTCTTTTACTCTATGTTTGATAAAGTGGTATTTTCTGTCGATATCTCTAGATCTGCCATTGGTTCCTTTGTCAAGGCAACCGCTCCTTCATGATCATACAAAATTAGCATCGGCTCCGTTTTGGCTGGCACAACTACAAGGTCTCCAATGAAGTTCTTCAACCATATAGCCTCATTTGATGCTTCACTTGCTACAATGTACTCTGATTCACAGGTAGAATCAACCATTGTCTCCTGCTTGGAACGTTTCCAAGATACAACTTCTCCATTAAGGGTAAACACCCAACCAGATTGAGAACGGAAGTTGTCTCTATCTGTCTGAATGTTGGCGTCAATATACCAAGTTACTCTTAAGTCATTACTACCATAAAGAAGAAGGACCCATTCTTTAGTTCTTCGCGGACACTTAGGAATATTCTTGACCACTATCCAATGAGCTTTACCTGGATTTCTTTGATATCAACTAACCATGCTTAAAGCGAAAGCCATGTCAGGGCGAGTACATGTCATAACATACACGATTGATCCAATAGCGGAAGCATATGGAACTCAACTCATTTATGCTATCTCTACATCAGTACTTGGACTTTGAGTCTTACTCAGTTTGGTATTACTCTAGACAGGAAACTCTTTTTTCTTGGAAATTTTCATGCTAATACACTTTAACACCTTATCCAAATATGCATTTTGGCTAAGTCTAATTAGTCTTTTACTCCTATTTCTCAAAATCCTTATTCCCAGAATATAAGCAGCCTCTCCCAGATCCTCTATAGAGAAACACTTTCAAGCCAAGACTTAACCTCTTGAAAAGTTGGAATGTCATTTCCTATGAATAGTATGTCATCCACATACAATACCAAAAAGGTGATTATACTCCCACTAGCTTTGACATATACAAAAGATTCATCTTTACTTCTAGAGAATCCAAACTCTTTAACATTCTCGTCAAAGCAAATATTCCATCTGCAAGAAGCTTTTTTCAATCCATAGATCGATTTGCTAAAGCTTACAAACTCTATTGGGGTACTTAGCATCCACAAAACCCTCTGGATGACTCATGTAAACATCCTCATCCATCTTTCCATTATGGAAAGCGGTTTTGGCATCCATCTGTCAAATTTCATAGTCATGAAATGCAGCTATGGCTAGCATAAGCCTAATAGAT